GGCGGGAACCACAACTCCCAGCAGCCTTTGCGCGGGGGCAGCACAACATGGCGGCGCCCTTTGTCCTGTTCGGAGAGCGGGAGGCGGGTGGAAAAGGATCCCCAGGGATTGCGGCTTTCCTGCGCCGCTTGCGGTCCGGACTCTCGAGGTACCGTTTGGAATGTGCCAGCTCTCCTGCTGGAGTTTCTCTGTGAAATGTCTCAACACAGAGAGTAAAACTCAAGTCAGATCTGTTGGGGAGTGTGTTACACCGGTGCAAAGCTTCTTCCCCCTCTGTTTATTTTCTGTTCCAGAGGGCTCAGTCTCGAGTTCCCGGGCGCTTCCTGTTAAATGATACTGTGAAAATAACTTCATACTTTAAGGGGAAAGAAGCTGTTTGTGGGAGTTCAGATGTCCGTGATAAACGCTTTATGCTTTTTCAGTCAGTAAGCTCTTAAAATATTTTTCAATAATCCTCCAAAACCTTACTGAGACAGCAGCATCTGTGCTAAAAGCAGTCGAGGTCCAGGAAAAGGCTGGGACAAACCGGGATAAATCAGCGTCGCTTCCACGCGTTTTCCCGGCTTTCCCATGAAGCCAAAGCAGCCTTGGAAGTAGTGCCAGTGAGTCCCGGTGTGTTTCTCGTGGGGGTCATTGCTTCAGCCTTGTCCTTTCTCCTGCACCTCTAGTGTGAACTTTGAGTTCAGTTGGAAAAGTTATCCAGAAAACAGGAAACTTTCTCGTTGCAAGAAGTTGGGTTTTATGAGCTTCCCTTCAGAGCTGATGCACTTGGCAGGAGAAGTCACCAGCAACGAGGCTTTTTGCTCTCAGGCAGGAAGAAAAGCCAGTGCCTTTCCTCCCCAAGCCCCCAGCACAGCAGGGCTTCCAGGAGCCGACGGTGTCGCTGCTCTTTCGGTTCTCAGCTGTGCCCGTGGGGATGGTGACATCGTGTTCCTCCGAGTGCTCCAGGGCAGCCGAAAGCACCAGCACATCCCCCGGGCCTTTTTGGGAGCCTGAGGTATTGCAGCAGTGGGGGTGGGTTTGTTTTTTTCTTCCCTGAAAGTAAAACCGTAGGGGAAATCTCTGATCTCCCTGATTTTCATATCATAATTGAATTTTTTTTTTAAAAAAAAGGTAACACTGTGGAATTTACTAACTGACTTGCAGTGGTTAAACTGAAAGTGCCAAACAGTTGTAGTGTACCACTTATTGTTTTTATTTATTCAGTTTGGTGTTTATTTACAAAGGGAGGCCATGGAATGTTATGGTGTTTTCCCCCAATATTTTGAGATGCTGCCCTGAATTAGTTGATTTCTGCCTCCCTCCCAATGGTGTTTCCCAGCAGTCCCACGGCATCTCTTGGGCAATGCAGCTGCCAGAGGTCCCTCGGGACAGGCAAAAACCCCACAGCAAAGGAGAACCTGGATTTGGGAGATAGAGAATTGAATGGCACCAGTTTGAGCTGTGCCAGTCCAGGGAATGCCAAAGGAAATAATTCCAAGACTCCTCCAGTGGGAGTGCTTTTCCTGGATGTGTGTAAACACAGGCACAGTTTTTTACTACAAAGTGAGTTACTGAGATTTGGGGTTGTTTTCTCAGTTCCTTCTGTAAGTTTTCCCTCTCTCAGCCCCACTGGCCAAACGGGAGGAGCAGCAGCAGCTCCAGGGCCGGAGCTGTTGGATGGGTTTGGGAGCCCAGATTCCCATCCTGGTGCAGATGTGTCCTGCAGCCTCCTGGGGGGATGTCCCTGCAGCAGCGCCCTGGGGAAGGGATGAGACATCTCCTGGCACTGCTGGCGCACAGGAACCCCACTGACTCCCACCTGGGGCACCCATTAATGATTATTATTGAGTTATTATGCAAATTACCGTGGAATTGTGTGAATTAGGGGCCAAAATCCCACAGAGGTGTTTGGGAGCAGAGGGGCAGTGCCAAGGCAGAGCTGCTTAGGGATGGCAGGTAGGAATTGGAGCTCTCCCAGTTAAAAGTGTCTGATCATCACAGTGCTCTTTTTGTCCTCTTCCACCAGCTGTCCCTGGTCATTCTTGTGTTTGAGGGGAGTAAAAATGGCCTTGGGGATTTGCTTCTGGGAACAGAGATCCATTTCCTGATGGTAGTCCTGGAAATGGAACTGAGTCTCTGTGAGAGCTGAGGATGGTACAGAAGGAGTGCTGGGATTGGAGAGTCCACAGTGAGTATTGTGTGGTGAGTGTCCTGATGTCCCTGCTGTAATGCTGTGCTGTCATCAAGTCCCCTCATTCTGATGTAAACTGTCTTTGAATGTGCTGAAAGTCCAAACTGAAGTACAAAATACCTATGGGAAGCTTCATGTTCCCAAGGGAATGCTTTAGGGATGTGCAGCTTCTGAACTACAGAAATAATTCAGGTTCCCACAGAAACCTGCTGGGCCGTGGTTCTGGGGCAGGAGTGACAGAAAAATGGCATCTTCAGGGCCATCTTAAGAGTTGTTTTCCCTCAAGATCACAATGAAATGCTGTTCGTGCCCCCCTGGGAAACCCCTGAGCAGGGTAAGTGGTGTAAGTGTGGTTTTCCTGCTCTCTGCAGTCTCTCAGTGATGCCCTGAAGTGCTCTGGCTCATGGAATATGATCCATGGGTAACAGCTTCCGTGCCTATCTGTGCAGGTGAGTCAGTCACTGTGTCCCATGGGATCCCTGAGGCTGGAAAAGCCCTTTGAGACCATAGGGTCCAAGTGGTGCCCCAGCCTGCCAAGGCTACCCCCAGCCCATGTCCCCAAGGCCTGCATGAAGAGCCATCCCCTGAGGGACAGGAACTGGGGTGAGGGCTGCAGCCACTGGCAGTGGGGCTGGGGGTTCCCTGAGAGCCTCCAACACACATTCCCTTCTCCCTGGCCTTCCCAGGAAGGATGACTGGTCTGGAGAGCACAGTGTGCAGGGGCAGCAGTCCAAAGCCACACTCAGGACATTTCCCTGCAGTTCAGGGAACTTCTGATTGCAGCACCTTGAAGTCTTGTGTGCTCAGCAGCTTTTCCTTTGGACTTTTTATGCCCTAGGAAACAGATTTGAGGACCTCCCAGTGAATTCATTGAATTGTCCCAGCCAGAGAGCTTTTTGCTGACCTAAACTGAGCTTTTAAGCCCCAGACCTCCCGGATTTGCAGTGTTTTACCATAACAGTGAGCCAGGATGGATTCTCCTGTTCAGTGGTACAGCTGCCCACAAGGGCTGGGTCAGCTGGGCCAGCACTTGCTGTTGTGTGTTTTCCTCTCTCAGAGGAGGCAAAACCACTTTGCTTTCCCTTGTAGGACCAACTGAGGCTGTGGATTGCAATGCAGAGCATCTGCAGGCTCCTGGTGCTTGGGGCTGTGGTGTTTGGAGTGCAGGAAACATCCCTGACTGTCTGATCTGGGTGTGGATGTGCATTTCCAGGACTAACTCAGTCTGGGTATCCCACCCACCCAAAGCTTCTGATGAAGTTCCAGCAAGTCCCTGAAACTTGAGGAAGAAAAGAAATGAGTTCAAGTAGAAAGATCAGGTAACACATCTTGACTGATAAATCTTTTCCTGCCCAGAGTTGTTACTGTGAGGGGAAAAGCTACTCTGTGCAGCGGCAGCACAGATATTATCAGATGGAACAAAATCACTTCATGCAAGAGGTTTTCTCCTGTGCAAATCAGTCCTTGGGCATGAATTGAACTTGGGCAATCATTTGGTCTTCCCCCAGCAAGCATCATTCCAGTCAGCATTAATGACATGCCCTGTGCCCACTTCTCATTATTCACCCAATAAAAATCAAAAGCAAATAAATGTTGGTTTGGTTTTAAGAAATTAGAATAACTTTAAAACAAACTAAATCACCTTTTTCTTCCTTTTTTTTTCTTTTAGATGATGGAATTGTCACTCTGGATGTGTGCTGAGCTCTGGTGGCAGGGGACTGTCAGGCCCTAATGGCTGCACATTCTTGTTCTTTTCACTGGGAAATTGGGAGTAATTATTAATTAGATTGCAGAAATATTTTCTGAAACTTTTCCCTTTTTTCTGTCTTTTGCTGGTAGATTTTTTCTTTCTGCCTTTGAAATTACACCTTCCTCGTAGCTCCCAGGTGGGAAAACCTGGGGTGACTTAGGGAGGACAGGGGTGAAATTTTTAGCTGAAAACTTGGGGAAATTTAGAGAGGGCAGAGCAACTGTTTTTGGAGGAAAATGTGTTTAACCACATTGATCCGAGTTGTGTTTGCACAACTTGGGGCCAGAGGTAAAAGTTAATCCAAAGCAAACCCTGCTCAACCTCTAAATCCCAGGATAAGTTCTACAAGCTGCAAATTGAGGGACTAAAAATACATTAAAATGGAACCAAGAGCATTAATAAGGTGCCAGGGAATCCCAGTATTGTTGTCGTAGAATTTTTAACTGATTTTTAAGCTTCTTATGACAACTGTGAGTTTCTTCCTTTGGATTACTCATGCTGTAGGTTTTGAGGTTTATTTGGATTTTGAATCCCTCACTGTGGCCCTGACACTGATCAGGAGCTGGCAGGAAAAACAGAATCAGAGCTCCTGGCAGGCGCAGGGTGTTTTCCCCCAGAGTGGATCCAACTGCTGCCCACCAGCCTGGGATTTGCTTTTGGCTCTTGGCTTCTTCAATGGTGAATTCCTGCTGGAACAGCCTCACAGTGCCTTATGGAGCCCAGATACTCCCCTGCAGAGCTGCCGCTTTAACGCCAGGTTTGTCAGGAACCAGCCAAGGTTCCAGGGAAGCTCAGTGGGATCAGGACAGGACAGGTTGATATTCCATAGAATTTGTTGTTTATAACCCTCCTCCCCCAGCCCCGCTGATGTCCCTGTGGGGGAATTGACCAAGTTCCCTGGAATTCAGCTGATTTTCACCCCCCTGGGGTTGGGCTCCAGGGGATGTGTTCACCCAGGAGAAGGTGGTGGTGGGACGCGCTCCCAGCACGCAGTGAGGCAGCACCTGAGCACAGGCGAGGACGTCTCTCCGTGCAGGAAGCCGCTGTCACTTCAGAGCCTCAGGAGTGGCCTCTGCAAGTTTTTTTCCCTGAGGAAAGGGATGCACATCCCTGCCTTCAAGGCACCTCGGGTCTGACCCACCTGTTAAAGCTTACCATGGCTTCTGCAGTTGCAGCTGTGTCTGTCCG